TTGTCTTGGGTGAAGAAGGATATGAAGGATTGGTCCAACACTCTACCAATGTCCTCTGGCTCCATCCACAGACTGTCCACTTTGTCCCTCACAGGCCTTAGTATTTCCCTGGGTTATTCTCTTTGCATTGATATATTTACAGAATATCTTGGGATTTTCCCTACTTTTACCAACCGGAGCTTTCTCATATCCCCTCTTTGCTTAAGCTCCTCCCTGCACTCCACTAATGCCTCCACTGATTTGTTCCCCTTGTACTCACTAAAAGCCTCCCTTTTCTTTCTCATTGTATCTTGAATATCTCTGGTCATCCATGGTTCTTTGGGCTCATTATTCCTTCCTATCACCCTAGAAGGAACATGTTAGAGTTATACCCTACTCATTTTCTTTCAGAACTACCCCTCCACCCTACTGCTTCTCTGTAGATTTCCCCAGTAGTAGCTGTTTCCAATCTACAATGGCCAGATCCTACTTAATTTTACTGAAATCCACTCTTCCCCCAATCCAACAAGTTTTTTGTGCTTGTCTGTTTCTTTGTCCATAATAAACTTAAATTGTATCATGTTATGATTGCTATCATTAAAATGCTCCCGATCACCACATCAAACTGTCTGGCTTCATTCCCCAGAATTATGTCTAAAACAGCTGTATCCCTTGTTGGACCCTCAACATATTGGTCTAAAAAGTTCTTTTGCATAAATTTCAAGAAATCCACTCCATCCAAGCTCTTAACACTATGTCTATCCCAGTTAATGTTCGGTAAGTTGAAATCACCTCCTATAATTACTACTCTTTTGTTATTATTTTTACAGACCTCTGTGTATCATGTGCAAAATTTGCTCCTCAATTTCCCACTGACTCTCTTGGGTGTTTATAATAACCACCTAGCAATGTGTCTGACTTTTTTTTATTTGTAAGCTCTACCTCCAAAACTTCACTCAAAGCCCCTTCCAAGATATTACCTCTACTTACTGCAATAACTGACTCCTTAACTAATAATGCAACGCCTGCTCCTCTTTCACCCCCTTCTTTGTTTTGCCAGATGATTCTGTATCCCAGAATATTGAGTTGCCAATCCTGCCCCTCCCTCAACTACGTCTCTGTGATGCCTATTATAGTACACTTCCATGTGTCAAACATCGCCACTAACTCCTCCATCTTACCTGTGATATTCCTGGTGTTAAAGTAAAGATAATCCAGCCTTGCATTTCTCTCTTGAAAATTAATATAGCCTCTGACCTGATTGTTTTACTGTTTGATTCTGTGCCTTCATTCTGCGAACAGTCTGTGTCCCCTCCCCCAGCTGAAATAGTTAAAACGCCTCCCAACAGAACTAGCAAACCGTCCCACAAGAATGTTAGTCCCACTCTGGTTTAGATGTAGTAGACACCACATCACATACACCACGTACACATGTGGTGTATGGGTCCCACCTTTGCCATAAATGGCCTCAGTGATTCAGGAATCTAAAACATTCATCTGCACTGTTCTCCTATTTTTGTGCTCACTAGCACTTGGCACTTGTTTTTTTGTGATAACAACCCAAAAGGTCCTGCTTTTTTGTCTCCTGCCTAGCCCCCTGAATTCTTGATACAAGGTCTCATCCCTCTTTCTACCTATGTCATTGGTACCAACATGTACCATGACCTCTGCCTTATCATCCTCCCCCTTCATGATGCCCTTCAGCCATTCAGTGACATCCTGGACCCTAACACCAGGGAGGCAACACAATCTTGGAATCCTGTCGGTGCCACTGTGGCCATCAATCTGCTCTCCTGAATGAGGAATACCCTACTACCATTGCCTTTTGTCTTTCCTCCCCTCCTGTGCAGACAGGCTCCTTGTGGTGCCAGAAGCTTAGCTCTGTCCACACACACGAGAGGAACCAGCGGCCCCATCACCCTCCAGAATGGAATACTGATTTGCGAGTGGGACCCCAGGAGATTCCTGAACTAGCTGCCGGTTTCTCTTGGATTGCCTGATGGTCACCCATTCCCTTTCCTCTTCAGGTCCCGTCATCTACGGTGTGACCACCTCTCTGAAAGTGCTGTCCACAATGCTATCAGACTCGTGGGTGCTCCACAGTGACCCCAGCCACTGTTCCAGCTTTGAAACCCGAGGTTCCAGGAGCTGAAGCTGGGCACACGTACGGGCCCCGTGCCCTGGAAATGTGCCCACAAACGATGGCTTTGTGCTCTCCTGCCATGACTGAACCCTTTAAGGTGTAAACACTTTCTTTCTAAAATACATAAATCAGAAAAGGCCCTACTCTTGCTTAAACTATGACTTATGTTTTAATATAATTTGGAAATACCCACCAGGACTTACTCTCAAATCAGCTGCTCCCACTTGTCCCACATCACTTTCTGGACTGTAATGTCTGGTCTACTCCTGCCCCACTGGACCCCCAGGTTTACTATACACTACACCCACTGCTGCTACTGCTCTGAATGTGCTCAATTGAAGCCCCACTCCTTAAGTATTTATCTGGGATCTCCCACTCCTGCTTACCCTCTGGTTTGCATTACTCAGCTCTGACCACCGCCGCTCTGAGTGTGAACAGCAACATCAAGCCACAGCTGAAGTATAAATGAAGAGATGCAAAGTAAATCTCTCTCCATTGTATACAAGCCTTTAGAGAGACCTACATAGTGCATCAGCATGACATCTCTGTTTGCCACAGCTCTTATACATGTGTAATAATTGATTTAGTGTCAAGACATATTATATTATTTGCAATTTAGCACAGCAGAGCCTTATCTATTAGAAACTGGGATGGAGCTGCTAAAAGTCATTTCACTTAACAGCCTTATTTTGAGTATTAAAAGGAACCTTCATGCTGTTGGCCTTGTGTGACATTGAAGGCATTGTCCATAAATGTGCGAAGCTGTAATATCCATCCAGTTCTTCAGACCTCAACCTTCTGGGGTGTTTTATATTGTAATGTAAGCACAATCAGCTTGAGGGCAGTGCAGGATTTCCTGACCCATTAAAGTTTTTTTTTAGCCATTTGTATTGATTTTCTAATAATATTTCTTTTCCTTTATGAATATTCTTTAGCAGGTATGTATGATGACAAGCGAATAATAACCAGCTGAAACTGTTTAAAGAGTTTTAGAAGATGTAGTGACACAGTGCATTAAAATACACTTTCCACTTCTAGGACACGTATTAGAATCCAGCCCAGACAGCGTAAGTCTTTTCTGGCTCTTAAGGATCCTAACTAAAGCATCTCTGATAATGTTAAATCATCCCAACAAAACAATGTGTTTTTAATATCATTACCTGATTTTTCTCAGTATATTAAAATAAAAAAGCCATGACTTAATTGTGTTTCTGACACTTAAAAACTTTGAAATACGCTATCTGAACCTTAAACTTCTATTATTCCAGCATATCTCAGTTTCTGCCTCCATGCATCCTCATTTCTGTTTGCTAATTGACGTAGCCTCAAACTCTTGGCAAAAGTTGCTCTTTGTATCTGTACTTATCCTGTTGGTCACTGACACTGAGGCATCAAGTTTGGGCTTCGCTGCCAAACTTTCAGAATATTTTTGATTAGATGGCAAGATTCCAGTATCTCTGGCAGTAAAGTGCATATTTACTTATTTAGGTTGAGGACAAGATCAGACTCATTATTCCCTCCACTAACTTGGTGCCTTCCATTCAATCACTTTGATGGACTGGCAATGAAAAGTAGTTGGTTTTGTTTGGGTTAGCCATCTTGAAATTAACTGCAGAAAATTCAGAATGCAATACAATCTGTGCTTAATTTGTATAATATATTTCTTGAAGAATGAAGTGCACCTATTTGGGATCATTGGTATCCCAAATAAGGGACCATTTAAAATTCCAGGCTAATTTTCCTTATCTTCAATAATAAGTTCAAATTCTGCCTGCAATAATTCACCCATAACTCATTCCAATTGATGCAGAGAATTTTCATTTTTTTGTTAAACTACCTTATTCCCCACCTTTGCAGAATTTAGCAACTGCAGACTATTTAAAATGTTGTAATTGGTGTTGATTTGTTCTGCGTACTCTTCATGGGGCAGTATGTCTTCACCTTACATTTGACATTATAATATGAGTTGCTTGAAAGTGGCTCAGAATGAATCATTTAGTTCAACCAGCATCCCTGTAAGTAGTCTGAAGTGAGGAATGTAACCATCCTGATACTTGCATCATTACATCTGAGGTTACTTGGAGTTAAAATACAGTTTTTAGGAATAAATAGCTGTAACTATTACTTTTATAACTTGTGAATATTCTTTCTTGCCCTCAATCTTCCCTCCCTGCTTCATATCACCAGCCTGTGCTTTCTTGATTTGTCTTATCTTGGTTCTTCACTGAGGTCTCTGGGGTCAGATGATGGATGAACTACTAGTTATACTGAATTCAATGCATTTGAGATGGCTTATAAAATGCCATTAAGACATGGAGCCATGTGTTTTGTTTATTCCTTTTACAGTTTCTGATATTGAAACCAGCCACTAACGGCACCATTCCCTGATCAGGAAGACAGCTGAATCATTTCCTCTTTGGCCTCTCTTTCCAATTGATCAACAACTGCATTTTTATAGAGCAGCCTAGGTTGTCTCGGCTTCCCAAGCTTGGCATTTCTATCGGGAATTTTCACACCTGTCACTGGACCTTCAACAAAAGATCGCTGGAATCCCAAATTCACACCGTTTCATTAGGATTTCTCCTGAAGTTACAGGAGGAGGTCAAGAAAACTCTATGGAAATGTTTCCCTTCATGTCGTATTCCTTTGTGTTCTATCTTCTCAACTGTGAGAGAGGGAAGCCCTCCATTCATACCTAGTGCAGTAAGTCAGTGCACTGGTGTTATGCCACTGATCGTACCAAACTGCTTTTTAATCAAATGGAACTATATATTTTCAAATATTCTGTACAATGTCCATAAAGTGATTGACTACAAAATAAACAGATGAAAAAGGATGGAATTGCCAAACAATACGTTGTCTTTCTTTTTCTTCTTAGGTGAGATTGCAAATTGGGTTATATGCAGTCTTTCTGTGGGACTGGTTTACAGTTTACAATCCAAACCAATTCCTCATTCTCCGGCTGGAAGAACACGCTGCTGATTTGAGAAAGAGCATGCACCGAGTCTTCAATTTCTTGAACTTGGGTATGCTTTCATATTAAGCTTCATTTTTGTGCTAAAAGCATGAATTAATAAAATATAATTCTAAGAGTATATTAGTTAATTGCAGTACGCTTCATAAAGTGCATTTTGGAAAACTCTAGAGATCAGCAAATGGACAAATGGCCGATGTTTTAACAACAGGATTGAGTCACTTCTAAATGGTTTAGACCTGTTGCTATGTTTACTTCTACAGTGAAGTGAAAATAACGTTCAAGATACTCTGAATATTGATTTGCCTTTTAAAGGGCAGCCTGCCTGAAGGCTGTTGTCCATCCCATTCCCATTGAGGGCCCCCTTTCTGTATAATTTTGCATATTGCAATGAAGCTCTTGCTTTAGGCACTTGCTTTAAAAGTACCAAACTGCCAGATTGTCAGGCCATTTTTGCTGGTGATTAGTTTCCATGGTACAGACCCCTTGCTTACATTTAGCACATGCACACGCCCACACATACACACACATGCATGCACGTGCGCCCTCTCCACTTTCATGCACTCGTGCTCTCTCTCGCTCACGCTAATGCTCATACGTTCACATTCTCTCTTGCACTCTTGTTTAGGGACAATAATGATGCCAATATTGGAATCTGTCATCAGGGACAGAGTATTGAGCGTTTGAACAAATATGACTCAAAGAAAATTGACATACTTTGTAGAGGGTAAGTCAAGAGAGCAGTGGAGACAGGGTCATTGGATATTTTAAGGTTGAATTTGATACTTTTTGACTGCCTTGTCAATCAAGAAGCTATGAGGAGTAGACAGGAAAGTGGGTTTGAGATCACAATGAAATCAGCCGTGTTCTTATCAAATAGTGGAGCAGGCTGAAGGGGTTGAATGGCTAACTCTTGCTCCGAATTTGTATATGTGGGAATCTAGTTTATCTTTTGCGGAAAGCGTTGGGCAGAAAAATATCCATTTGGATTTTCATAAGGCTCTGCACAACAGATTAGCAAAGCTGCAAGCACATAAAATTGGGCATGACCATCTGACATGATTTAGCAACTGATTGAAAGATAAGAGATGGAATGATACTGAAGAGAATGTACTTTGGCTGTTGTGACAAATGGTTTTAACCAGTAATCTGGAGTGAGGCTTCAGCTTTTCACCGTAAGATTTTAGATGATTGGATGAAGATTTGTATTTTGCGATTACATATGATACTAGGTTCAGAAGTACATTAAGTTTACAAAAGAATGATGGCTGCTTCCCAACTCTATGCCACTGGGTAGCCACCACTACAGGCTCCATCCTGCAGGTAGGACAGTTTCAAGGTTGTGCCTGAGACAATGTCCGTAAGATATAATTCTATGAGTTTGTCTGTACAAGCCTGTCTCTCCTGATTTTGACACAGGCCCCTAGATGTTAGGAAGGAAGACTTTGTAGGATTAATGGGGCTGAGTTTGCATTGTCATTTCCAAGCCCAAATAAATGCTAGAAGTTCTGTCTGATTTCATTCAATTGTTTAGACTTTGTAGTGATTTTGATAAGCTGAGTGGCTTGGTTGGCCACTTCAAATGGCAGTAAAGTGTCAACTACATTGCTGTGGGTCTGGAGTCACGTGGGCCAGACCAGAAAAGGATTGCAAATTTCCTTCCCTACAGGATATTAATGAACCAGATAGATTTTTACAGCAATCAACAATGGTTATGTGGTCACCATTGATTGATTTTTGTCTTAAAACTCAAATTTCACATTTACTATGGTGGAATTTGAATGCCTGACCCCAGAACATTAGCCTGTTGTTCCAGATTACTGGATTCCCTAATTCCCCCTGAGAAGCTTCTAGCGAGCTGCTTCTTGAATGGATGCAGTACATGTGGTATATAGATAACCTCAGTATACTGTTAAGGAAGGAGTTCCAGGATTTTAATGCTGTGATAATTAAGCAGTGATATAGTTTAATATTTGGATGGTGTAGTATGGAGAGGAACTTGCAGGAGGTGATGTCCTAAGCATTGACTGCCCTTGTTACTCTAGGTGTAGAAATCATAGTGTTGCAAGATGCTGTTGTGCATTTTTAGATGATATGTTGTACTACCACTGTGCCACTGCCTCTCAAGGTGTTGATGGTGGAGGAGTCAGTGATGGTAGTGATGGTAATGATGTTAAATGTTTAAGGAGATGGCTAAGTGTTCTCTCGTTGGTCATTGTTTGGAATTTGGGCAGCAAAAATGTTACTTGCCATTTATTTGCCCAAGCCCGAATGTTGTCCAGGTCTTGCTGCATGTAGACATGGACTGCTTCAGTATATGAAGATTGCAAATGGTGCCAAACGCTATGCAATCTTCAGCGAACATCCTTACTTTGAATCTTACATTGGAGAGAAGGTCATTTCTAGAACAGTTGAAGATAATTTGGACTAGGACACTACTCTGAAGAACTGAGGCCTGGGTTCAAGTGCCAACTGCTCTGGAGGTGTGTTTTGGATCTATGAAGAGGTTGATTCGAAAATATCTACCTGAAGAACTCCTGCAGCAATGTTCTGGGACTAGACTTCTAATCATTTCAATGTGGGTTATAGATCAGGAGATAACTGTAGTTGAGTGATTGAATCATGTATAATCAATCAAACAACAGAAAAGGGTCAGGGGACTGAATGATCTACTGCTTTTCTTCTGTCCCTAATAGAGTCACTCCATTTGTTATAAATCAAATAAGGCAGTCAAATTAAAGTAAAAACCAAAAGAATTGCAGATGCTGTATTATCAGGAACAAAAACAAAGTTATTGGAAAAGTTCAGCAGGTCTGGCAGCATCTGTGAAGCAAAAAATCAGAGTTAACATTTTGGATCAGATTCTGAGGAAGGGTCACTGGACCCAAAACGTTAACTCTGATTTCTTTCTTCACAGATGCTGCCAGACCTGCTGAGCTTTTCCAGCAGCTTTGTTTTTGTTGCAGTCAAATTAAAGTACTGTCCCTAACAATATTCCAAAGATGGGCCTGGGGTGAAGGAAGAGGAAGGAGCCAAATTCTGAGATGTTTTACCTGAACAATCATGTGCTTTCTGTTTATTTATAGTCTTATTTATGGTAGTGTCATCAGGGAACATGGTAACCCAATATCTGAAGGCATTCAAATTGGACAAAGTCAGAGCAATACATCTGATTTAATGACACTTTAATAGCAAAATAATTCCTGGTCATTTTAGAGCAAAATATTTTTCTGAAGGTTATGATGGACTGGCACAAATCTAAGTTATGGTTATCAGTACTGTTCGTTTATTTTCGAGTTAGCTTTCTTTATACCAGATATTGAGAGCCTGCTGTTATGGCTTCCTCTCCTAAATCGAGAAAAAATAGGAACATTATTCATAATTAGTGCCAGACCCTAAATGCCTCTGTTATTCTGATGTTAATTTGATTGGATTAACTGAATTTACAAGTGGGTCAAATGATAATTTAGTTTTGATAACATGCTTATTAATTAGTTTCCTCTTGACAATAAATTCACAATATGTACCATTGAGTCCGAGAATCAAACTAATATTTGTTACACGGGCTCACAGAAATTCCAGCCTTTCAGTGAACCTACTTTCCAGTTTTAATTGAATTTGCTCAGCAGCTGTTTTTTTTAACTAGGATGCTGAAGAGGTATCCAAAGCAAATAGGAATGTGTATAAAACTGAATTAGGAACTAGTAATGCAGTATTTAAAAAAAAAATGAACTTATCAAGCACTGGAAGTCTGTGCTTCAGATGAATAGGTAATTACAGGGGTATTTTTAAATCATTGGCAGTTTAGGTTTCTGATTAATGAGTACTGAATGACTAGGTATTAGTTAAAGAACTGACTGTCAAGTAACTGCACTGAGCCATGTTATTTAATTCAAAAGAAATTGCTTTCCTTCATCATTTGTGACTCAATCTGCCAACACAAATGAACAACCAAATGTATTTTCTCTCTTACTTAAAATCATGGCAGGATCAGGGGCAAAAATAAAAAGACAATGCATAGATAGAAAAGGAAAGAGATGTCAAATTCAGAGAGAAAAATCTGAAGTTGTTGTGTTAGTATTGGACTTTTTTTTTCCCTAAAGCTCTACTGTTGCTTTTCAACAGGAAGTTTGACTGATCAACAGGAGGCAGCCATCATTAACAATCCTGCATCAAATACCAGGCGTCCCAAAGACAAAAGCCTTGGACCTATGTTGTCAAAAACCAGGGAGCTTCTCAAGCATTTCTATGGGCCATTCAATGAAAAGCTGGCTTTGTTACTTAATGATGATTCTTTCTTATGGGAACAATAGAGACCAAATTCATAAAATTGTAAAATATCAAATGTTTTATATGCTTTCTTCACTTTGTGGAATGTTCAACAAAATGTTGATGTTCAAGTTCAAAAGTTATTTTTTTAAGTTTATTTTTAAACTTTTAACTGAAGACTTGTCCAAAATTCAGTAGAAGGCGTGTCTGAACTTTAACCATAATTATAAAGGTGAACATTATCTGTATGCCCTCATGTAACTTTCTGTGGAATATGTAGATGTATAATACTTGACACTGTGACTGTCATACAAAAGTCCTGAGTTTGTGTAAACATTTTTTTAAAAGAAAGTAATTCCTCATGTGGTTTTAAATATTTTGTAGGATTTTCAATTATGCATATGTACTTGGTAACAATGAAATCTTTACAGAATATGTTTAAATATTGCTATCAAACATACATAAGAGATTTCAATAACAGTGCCTACTTTAGTCTTCCGGGAATTCATATACCATAATTATGGTTTAGTAATGGATGCAAGAGCTACTATTTTTAACTTATTTTTATTGCTTCCCTCTCTGTTGGTTTATGTTGTGGAGTGAAAGAGGAATGTCTCTAACAATTGTGCTGATTGAGTTCTACAAATTCCATTATCTTTGTTTCCCATCAGTTAAGAACAGTTACCAGCATTTGTTCTTTGTTCTCAAACAAACAGTTTGCTATAGTTTACTTGCTTCTAGGCAAAACTATGACTGGTGAAATGTTAATTCTTTCTTCCACAAATAGAATTGGACAAAACTGTATTTTCGAGGTCCGTGTGCACAGCAAACCTATTTTTTTGTGTAACACTCAGTCACTGTTTATAAACAGAAGTTTGCACTGCCTATTTGCGATGAATCTATGCTTGATTTTACTGGGAATTGCTTTTTAATCCACGGTCATATCATTTGCATTTGTCATCAACTATGTTAGGAAAGTTTATGTAGCAGTGCCCTCTATTGTCAAGTGGTTTATAAGTTGAACATTCAGTTTAAATGAACAAATGCAGGTTCAAAGAATCTCAAATGCATGTTTGTGGTAGTGGATATTACATTTATCTGAAATGTTAAAATTTCAGTACAACAAAGGTTTTCAAAGTTTATCTTGTAAACTGCATCAGGAAGAATATGGTTTAACTGGTTGAAACTCCCTGGGCACACTTAGCAATAAAGACCATTAATTTGCCGAATGCTGAAAAGACTTTATACTTTTGAGAATGCTAATATTTTTCTGAATTATTTTTTACACTCAGGATGAATAGGGTAATTTGACCTCTGCTACCCAGCCAATTACTCCAACATCAGGCATTATTGCGTGGTTTACAAAGTAAAGCCAGTTTACACTATAGCTCAGCAATAGGTCACAACCTGCAGGACCATTGATCTTTGTTTTAATGCCTGTTTAATGTCCTGTTTTTCACTTTTTTGGTGTTCTGTTTTAATAAAAAGAGAAAACAAATGCAGAATAATTGAACCTTTCCAAAAGCATTTGGCTAATTCCAGAAAGCAACAGTATTTTTATGAACTAAATATCTTAAAATCTCAATTTAAAACACAGTTTAAAGTGTATGGCCAAGCCGAACATCAACTTCCAATGATTATGGATAGTACTTCAATGGATCTTACAGATAAATTCTTGCTAGACTTCTGGATAATTTTTTCAAACGAATAATTCCTAAAAGTTATATTGTAATTCAATCACTCACCTACTATTATCGGATAATAAATTGAAAAATTATGAACAGAGGTACAGTTGTGATCTTGCTTTCAATGAGAAATGGTCTTGGTGAATTGAATCAGCCTATGAGTTTGATCCTGAGGGCCTCAATGGTAACTTTATTGCATTGTCCTTGCAATATCCTGGTATTTCACTTCACCATTGTCCAACTGTGTGAAATGGGTATTCACATCTAGGTATTGGAGAGGGGTAGCTGTTAAGGGTGGGGGTTAAGATTAGCAACATTATTTTGAGGCTGCATTTGAATGCTGTTTTTTAAAAAAATATATTATTTCCTAATTGCACAATTGGGTAGGTGTCTTGTGCCAATATTTTGGCATTGTTGGGATATTAGTTTTTATATTCATTCATGGGATATGGATGTAACCAGCATTTATTGTCCATCCTTAATTGCTCTTTGAACTGAATGGCTCGCTAAGGCCACTTCAGAGTCAACCATATTGCTATGGGTGTTGACTCACACATAGGCCATATCAGGTAAGGATGAATGATTTACTTCTTTTTAAGGGCATGAGTGAACCAGATGGAGTTTTGTGACATGTTAACGTTTAATTCCCAACTTTATAAATTCAATACAAATTTCATCATCTGTCGCAATTCAAAGCAATATCTACAGAGCATTATCAAGGATCTCTGGATTACCAGTCTAGAGACACCACGACCTTCCCCATAATATTACATAGTATCTGTGGTATTGAGCTTTTGGAACTGTTATGTATTTGTTTTTTTGGAAGAAATGGTGTATTAAATTTGCCAGAAACTGATCTATTGCTAACCTCTTATCCTTATTTGCAGGCAAAGGTACTGCTTCCTAGCAATGACTATGCAGAGCTGGTTATAAAGTTGACAATAACTCTACGGGATTCTACAATCTATGGTGTGTGTTGTTGCAGTGAGCAAGTACCATAGGATTGGTGATGTCGTCGTGATCAGCTGTAATACCCTCTATATCAACACTATTTCATCAGACATTGCCGCATCATTCCATCACTCAGTTGACCATGGGTTTCCTGCCTCCACATTCTACTGTAGCAGCCACTGAGTTTTCAGCAGGTTTTCTTAGAACTGAAATAATTTTTCAAATTCTAAGACGTACATTAAAGAATATTGGCTTTTCCTAAAATCTGCCACAATTTTTATTCTTGTTTCAGGGCTGCTTGCCCTACCCCGCCCTATGAGCCCCAAGTATTGTTCTCAATATGGATTTAAAGAGGAAATATTGAGATAGTTGTTAAGAACCATTATATTATACTCAGCAGTCTTAAAACCTTGCAAGCATGAAATGTATATGTAACCACAATCACACCCATGAAATGTGCTTATGATGCTCAGCGCTGTGAAAACCACTGCACTCCAGTCCACTTCTTGCATAATTTCAAAACATGCAAACATTTCCTCTTCATTTTGATGTAATTGACCATATTCTGTTACCACAAATTTTGTCAATTGTCTGGCCTACTTTTCTACAATAAGCACGATGAATCTGAATCTGTTAACCATGAAATAAACTCTCATGGAATGCAAGAAAATAAGCATGTTTGCCTGAACAACAAATTGGCTCATTAATCTGTTTTCCTGTTTAAATACATGTGAAAGCACTATTTATTATGCATTTATGTTACCCCAGTGTGATACCCTTTCATTCTGCTTTCAGATCCTTCTACTGAGTCTTTCTACAATTTTGCTTAATCATCTGCTTAAGAGCAAGGATACCATATTGTAAAATGCCCTAGCACTTAGAAGTTGAATGTATGTCATTATGTGGAAATTCTGTTGGTGTCACTGAAAGACTAATTACTGCAAACTGATACTAATAATTGGGCAATATTTACATCAATTTCAAGAATTCAGTTAATTTCAAATTGTGATTGTTTATTGAAAGTGCAAATCGGCTATGTTGGTGAACCATTCAGCTAGATTTCCTTATCAATCATGGAGCTAGGAGTATGAAGTCTTTGTTGCACTATTACAGTAAGCACTGATAGCTGAACAACAGAAGGTCTGCAAATTAGATTATAAAATAAATAAAAAATTGAAAGTGCTGGAGAAACTCAGTAGGTCTGGCAGCACTCTCGAGAAAGAGTCAAAGTTTCAAGTCTGATATGGCTTCTTCAGACCTGAAAGGGATTGGAAATGGTGGTTTTATATTTTTGACAAAGGCAGAGAAGGAGCCAGTGAACAGATTTTGTGGAGGCCCAGTGCAAGAGACAGAGAGGTTTCTAACTGGGGATGAAAGATAGTGAGAAATGCAAGCAGGATATACATTAAGGGTGAAAATGGATCCTCTCTGTTGATAACAGGGTAAATTATATAAGCAAGACAAGGGTAATTAAGAAGGAGTAAGGCACACTTGCCCTTATCAGTTTACCTAGTGTTGAAATGCAAAGCAGCATTTCATCTCTTTTAGGAGTGGAAACATTTCCTTTTTGGAGTATAAACGTAAACTGAAATGGACTGTTATATTTCAGAAATAACAGGAGAGTTTTGCAACTTTGTAAAATGAGTTAACAAAGCAGTGAGGAGGATACATGGAGATGGAAACATGCTAAGAGTCTTGGAGTTCACAGAAGACTGGCAGATGACAACCCTCCCATTGGTTGGGCTGCAGTTTGCTAAGAGTCTGCAAATGCAGGGCAACCTGTGCCTGTATATACTTTTAAAAGCAGTAAACATCAGAAACTGGTTCTTCCTTAGCTTGAGTGTGAGTAATCTGAGCTCATGTTTTTAACAGTGGACCAGCTTGTTGGGCTGATACCAACAAAGTTTTATTTCTTACCTTGAGGACTACAATATTCCTGAGAAAGTTTTTAGACTTGCGGTCTGAATCATAGAGATGTACAGTATGGAAACAGACCCTTCGATCCAACTTGTCCATGCTGACCAGATATCCTAAATTAATTTTTCCCCATTTTCCAGCATTTGACCCATATTTTTCTAAACCCTTCCATTCACTTACCCATCCAGATGTCTTTTAAATGTAATTGTACCAGTTTGTTCCATACATACACCACCCTCTGTGTGGAAAAGTTGCCTCTGAAATCTTTCCCCTCTCACTTTAAACCTATGCACTCTAGTTCTGGACGCCCCTACCCCAGGGAAAAGATATTAGCTGTTCACCCTATCCATGCCCCTCATGAGGTCTTCTGGTTGCAGTGCCACCTCAACCTTCATTGGCTAGGTTTGTCTAGCTATAGACATTCTGACCACAGTGTCAAGAAAATGCCAGACATTTTTTTTCCTGCATTTGTTTGACCTTCTTGACATAGGAACTTAGAAACCAGGAGCAAGAGCATGCCACTCAGCCCTCTTATTGCTGTAATGTTTGGGAAAATAAGAAGTGTTTGCTCTCATAAAGAATGGTAAAGGCTGGTAAGGGGCAACAGTCAGTCTGGTTTAACTGTGGTCATTGGCCAAGAAGGTGTAGAAAAGTGATTAACAGAGCATAAATTTCCAGCCCCAAATCAAGGAATATCAAACGGGGTTGGGGGAGGGGGGAGTGGATAGAGAGCCTAAGAGAATGAGCTACCACCTTTGGTGAAGACAAAGAGTTCCCCTTCTTCAGCCCGAGGAAAGAATGAAGATTGAAGCTATCAAAAGTGTAGAACATGAGGGATAAGCCAGCGCTCCAAAGCCTCTGCTTCTGCTACCTCATGCTACAGAATAGCTTTGGGATTGGGCAAGTCTACTCCTCTGTCGTAGGTCAATAATTTCCTGTCTTTGTCCAATTGTTCATTATATCTAAACTACTGCTTAAAAAATGGAATAAACCTTCTTGAAAATTGTTTACAAATGACTGACTGCCAATATTAGGTAACTATAATCATGAATCTCCTAATACCAACACATGGAGACTCAGTTTCCTACCACTCACTCCACCTCTATCTTTTGCAGTTGGTTGGAGATGACTAGGTAAGAGTTTGTTCTGGAGCAGGGGTTTGTGGATCAGATCCTAATCATTGGCCAGTATGTCTACCTGTCTTGGCCCTGTCATTCTCTGTTCCTCAAGTTGTATTCTTATTGGAAGGTGCTGGAGTTTTAAAGTTTTTCTGCAAATTATTTCATGGAACTTTTCATAAGTGGCTTCTGTCTAAAGTAACTGTATCAATTGGTTTAAGATTTACAAGGATGTTGCCAGCGTTGGAGGGTTTGAGCTACAGGGAGAAGCTGAATACACTGGGGCTATTTACCCTGGAGCGTCGGAGGCTGAGGGGTGATCTTATACAGGTTTATAAAACTGTGAGGGGCATGGATAGGGAAAATAGACAAGATCTTTTCCCCAAGATGGGAGAGTCCAAAACTAGAGGACATAGGTTTAAGGTGAGAGGGGAAAGATTTAAAAGGGAACTAAGGGCGACCTTTACACGCAGAGAGTGGTGCATGGATGGAATGAGATGACAGTGGATGTGGTGGAGGCTAGTAAAATTGCAACATTTAAAAGGTATCTCAATGGGTATAT